TTCCACTGCCTCAAAAGGCTCCCCAATATTCTTGGTCTGATTTATTTCTGCCTCGCTATTGCTTGAGCTAGAAACGATCACGACCCATGGAATGCTGGCACATTGGGCACACAATGATTGAAAACAATGAAAAACGCCACGGCACAGAAGAGCCTGTTGTGGAGGTGGGCAGAGACATTGAAGAATTGTCCATTTCTAGCCGCGTTGGAGGGTATTCATTCAGCACTATTGGCGAATTTCTGAAATCGTGTATGAGTATTTCCATATTTTTCATAATGATCAAATTGTGTGTTGCATAATCACAATCATGTATGGTTACTTGGTATTCCACTGACAGAATGTAGTCCATCTGTTGGTAAATTATAAATATTTTCGTTTCCATTTTTCACCAGACCCAAGAGGGGGCGGAATGTGCACCGCTGAACATAAGGTATGTAGCACCTCCAGCTTATGCAGGAATAGACCATTCCTAAATATGAAGGAATAATGCTTTCCCATTCCGCCTCAGATCTGAAGCATTCACTGGTGTGGTATGCAGGCATCAGTTTCCGTACAACCCGATCGTTATCACACATAATCTGCAAATGCCAAGTACATAAAGTAATGAGCAATCATGTACCCCAAGATGGTCAATGTGAGCGCAGAGCACTCTGACTCATACTTTCAATCCAATACCGAGATAATCTGATTTTTCATTCCTGCATTTCCTATGGGCTTGGTCTTTACGGCCTAGTTGTATTTACGCATATTTACAAGTAAATAGCACTTACATTTTTATGCGTAAAAACGCGCAAAAATAGGTAAATACAACTCTGTGTACATCATGTAAGCAGGGCCTGTGTTGATGTCTTATGGAAAATACATGTAGAATAAAGGAATCGGCAGACTCCAGCTGGCGAGCGGCGGCCAGAGACGTTGGGGTGAGTAGAAAAAGATGTTCACCTTGCCGAAGGGAGGTGGGCGCTGTGTTGCGGGTGCTCGAGAGGGGGGAGGACTGATCCTTGTTTGCGACTTCATCACGTAATCTGGGTTCCTCAACGCGCCGTAAAAGTACGTGTTTCGTAGAAGCAAAAATATCCTTTTCTTTGTTTACACATTTTACGCATAAATGTGTAAACGTGAAAACGATGCCGTCAACGTAAAGGCCAAGCCTCATTTTCCAAAACTATATCAGAAATTGTCACTAGCTCCCTGGACTAGTCGGTAATTCTTCTTCGTTCGATCGGCAAATTGCCAGTCAGAGTTCAGGAAGGGTAGTGATGAACATGCTCATCATTGGTAGAAAACGGCATGTCTGCGATGCCAACTGCGATGCTATTTTGACACAAAATGATGTCGTCACAGTCATTGCGATGGCATAAAAGTGGCTGCGATGGCATAAATTTGTGTCAAATGGCATCGCAATTGGCATCGCAAACAGGCTGTTTTCTACTGGAGCATATGTGCCATGCAGAATAGCGAAAAACGCTGGTTCCTGTCTCTAATGTTTCGAAATGCTATATAGTGATATCCCCTTTACAAAGGGATAACTTTCTCGGTAATAACAGAGAAGCGATGAGAAAATCTGCCGTAAGGAGCATCGGTGCCATTCATTCACCGTATCCCAATCCTTCTAGGAGCCCTGGTAACAGAGCTATCCCCGCGAGGTCCCTACCTCGGTGCAAAAATTTTTCACCAACTCCTGCTTACCTCCACAAACTGCATATTCTCCCTGACGTGATTTGTTCGTTTACATTCAATGTGAGCAGAACCTGGGGAAACTACAGCCAGATTCAGGAAAACTGCTTGCGTACTGCAACACATAAGCACATTGTTGATTTCAATTTTATCCAGCGCATAACATTGCTGCAGGAGAGCTCTACAGCATCACAATATTACGATGCAAAAAGAAGAAGATTGCGTTCACAATTTTGGACTGCTGGTGGCCAGCGCGTTGACAAGGAATAGGTGCTCGCCGACGTTGTGATGCTGAAGAGTTCGTCCGTTCCGTTGTCCCGGACAGTCGGGCCAAATGACAACTATGCCCCCCGCCCTCTCTTTAATTTGGCGGACTGCCTGATTCATGCCCAGAACTGCAAAAACATCAAAACTCATAACATTGTCAAAAGCTGTTAAACTAAACCCAAAGGAAACACCAAAGTTGATGTGCTTTGAAACGTTGCTCTGCGTCGCTTTGCGCTGCAGCTTATGGCGCCACCTCATGAGCGAATGACCACGCTGCGGTGCTGCATCAGGCTTGGATTGTGCGTTTACGTTTTCACGCGTTCAAACGTAAATTTGCAGAATGGGCTTTTTTTACGTCTATTTTTTTACGTTTTTACGCATCGTTGGGACACCCAGGTTACAAGATGGAGAAATATCACCAAGATTTAGGGGTGGACCAGCCATGTGGCCCGGCGCCCTATGGCTGTAGCCCACACTGGAACATTTGCGCGGGCAATTTATTCAAGGAGGGTGTGATGCAACAGCCTGGCTCGGGGCCTCGAACCTTTTGCCATTTGGCTACATATGTCATGGGTGCGTTGATGCAACACATCCTTCCGTTTTTGTGGGTGTGTATATCTGTACGAAACGCGTGCATGTGCGCATGTTCGTCACCTCGTCAATGATGCACGTATCAAAAAAAAAAAAAAAAACTGTTGGACAACACCAAACACACATCCTGGCAGTTTGCATTCCACGTGGTGGAGATGTGATGAAATGTCAGTTGGTATGCTGGTGGGACCGAAACTGAGATTCGACCACAGCGAATTCGACCCTTCAACTCATGAAGAGTGTCCCGGCATCATCGGCGCCCCCATGAGGGTGGCGTGATCACACCATCTTCACGGGACCCAGTCCCTCGCAAATGTTCACCCGGCAGCCATACGGCATGTACTGTCCCTGCCGCAACATTGTCTCACCCCGCCCGGTTGCAACTCTTGGCCCAAATCGCCCGCCAATCGCCCGGCGCCCTCACTCCTCCGCATCGCCGGATTCGCCTTTGCGGCCAAAGGGCGGTCGCGGGGCGCCAGCACCGGCGCGGTTAGACGTGTCGAGACGTCGCCCGTTGTCGAGAGGCGCCTTTGCCAATCCTTGCCCGCCATGAAGGCGGTCGAGCATGGTAAGCAATCCGCAAATGGCGACGGCATCCACATGGAGGAGGTCGTCCCGTTCTTGGGCCCGGGAGGGGCAGATTCGCCGGAGCGTGGGGCGCCCGCGGACGGCGGGCGGCCCCGCCGCAGGGTGGCGGACGTCGGGGAGGAGTTCGCGGTGGACGACGCGGTGGAGGCCGTGGGCATGGGGCGCTTCCAGGCCCTCCTGCTGCTGGTGGTGGGGACGTGCGTGGCGGGCAAGGGCGCCACCATCACGCTTGGCGCCTTCATATTCCCGGGGGTGAGCTACGCCGGCCTGCGCCCCGCGGAAAACCGATGCCGTGCGCCGCGAATGTTGGAGTCCGAAAGGCGAGCTTGAGCCCGTGGCTGGCACACCAAGTCGTGCCAACTGGCGTGAGATTGTCCGTGGCGCGGACGCGGCATGTCGTGCAGCCACGACTGCTCCTCGAGCGGCTTCCTGCAATGCCTCGCCGCCAAGCTGGCAGGGCGGAGGGGGCGGGGGCCGGCCCTCTGGTACGGGCCCTTCCGCGGCCGTGAGGAGAGGCGCCGGGGCGGTGTGCGAGTACTCCACAAGGCAGCCTCGGCGCCCGTGAGGGCGAACGTGACGGGTCCGTCCAAGGCGCATGACGCTGATCCGCATGAGGGTGACGGGCGTTAAGTACGGAAACGATCCATGCGAAGGCACATGGGAGCACCGCCTTCCTGTCCAGACACGGGTATTTGGGTGCGCTCGGCACGCTGCCCCTGCAGACACATGTGTTTGGCTGTGCAGCGAGGTTCGATTGTTGCGTGTGGCAGAAGGGCTTGACCCGTCGGATTTGAAAATTCTAGGAACGGATTGACACGGGTTCGTTGATGTATTCCACGATTGGCGGCCATCTGAAAGTGTGGCAGTCTTAACACGGTTCCTTTGGCCAAACGTGCACGTGGTGATGGCTGAGGCGCATGCAATGTAAGCGTCGGAAAACTTGCAGCAATTGTGCACGGTGGGTAGCTGCGCATAGAAAATGAATGTGTGGCGGTCGCAAACTCGCAAGCAGCAGTCTGCTGCTCATGATGGTGCAAACAACAGAAGCCACATAGGAAGTCAGTTGAAGATAATTGCAAAGACGCAAGGTTCTCTTCATGCAACAGGTGGCCATTCAAAATGCTTACCACACGTCGGTTCTACCCCACACCGTCACGTCACGTCTAAAGCTCCAGCTGACCTGCATGTTGTTGTTAAGATGCATTGTGCTTTTGTTGCTTTGCAGGCAAAGTGCGATTTCAATCTGACGCACTCCCAGGAGAGCAAGCTCACAGTCTGGGTGTTCATAGGGGTCACTGTGGGATCCTTCGTCTGGGGACTTATTGGGGACATGGCTGGACGAAGGATTTCCATTGTTGTGGCCACGTTGGGCGGAATTGTGATGAGCTGCGCGGCTACTTTAGCTCCTAACATACAGGTGAGATTTCCAAGATTCTGATGAACGAGGTAATTTCCATTGAGAGATGATGTTTTATCCATTTCGGATTGCAGATCTGTTTTCAGCTGACATAGAGAAGCTCCACAGCATGCTGTAAAGAGGGTTGATTGGGTAATGTATGCATCCCATGATGCATGCAAGCTCAAGTGCGACATCCGTGCAGTGACCCAAAGCTTTAAAAGCTAGTGGCTCTTAGCACTCGAAATGGTGGTGCAATCGCTGGAAGGGTCCTAGACATCCAGGACCGAAGGGAGCTCCTATGTTGAGGCAATCATTTAGACAGAGTTGCCAAGCCAGTAGTCGTTGTGGTCTTTCACGCAACGCCAAAATTGTGGGGTGGAGATGCCATAACAATTCCAATGCAAATCTAATTAGATTTTCATACTGTTGCGCTTGCGTATGCTTAATTGTAATGGAAGTTGCTGATAAGCTCATACCAGAGACTTCGCTTGCCTTCAGATTTGAGGATTTGAACCAAGCTGCCCACCCAAACATCACAACAGAGGGGCCTTGGAAAACAAGAATGGATCCACTTGAAATAGATGCAAGTTTGCAGTCACGGTCAGTTTTCCCATGTACCGCGCATTCACAATCAATGAAAAACGCTTATTGAGGAGCAGAGCACCCAAAAAGGATGCACAAGAAGATCGCTGCGCTGTTTACCAACCGCACGGGTAAAATTCCCTCAACCGGCCATCTTGCCAGTCCATGGACTGCCATGTTAGCCCGGCTCACATCCATGCCAGTGAGCAAAGGCGCTCCCAAAACACGAGGTTATGGCAACGACTAATTAACAGCTGTACTTGGCAACGCTGCAGTGGCTGTCGGCGAGCTTACTCATCCTTGGGTTCACAATGGCCGGGCAACTCACCGACCTTGCGTATCTGCTTGAGTACACTCCTGCGGCATACCGTGGCAAGTTCGCCCTGGCGCTGGGGCTGGCGTGGGCCATTGGCACGACGGGAGATGCAGCACTCGCATGGCTCATAATGCCGGCGTACGGCTGGAGGGCGCTGGTGGTTGTCACAAACATACCGTATGGTGCGTTGGGACAGTTTGGAGGTGCCCATCAGCGAAACTGGACTTCTTTCTGAGGACATCCGAATTGCAATCCAGTGCGGCGATTTGAGGTGCTTTGTCGCTGAATAATCAGAGGGGCGCATTGAGCCATCAAGCACGTTGTCCATGCTGGAAGCACCACCAATTTTTCCCTTGTGCATCGCTGATGCGTTTGTTGCATTCGAATGCCAGCCATGCATTTCCACACTGCTTTTGCTGCTGCACGTCCATGATGGAGAACGCAAGCAAAATGCAGGAATGCTCGATCCGACAGTTGTACTATTGATTTGCCGCGCCCATGTGAGCGTATTGCACATGTTGTGTTCTGAAACACATGAGCGACCTCAGTGGTTCACAAACAGTAGTTTCTTCTGATCATTTGAAATTCTGGACTGTGAACTGCAAATAAACTCAGTCTGGATGTCTTTGCCACAGCAATCGCAGTACTTCTCCTTCTCCTGGTACCCGAATCTGCACGCTATCTGATTGTGAAGGGTCGACAGGACGACGCACGGAAAGCCCTGGATCGAATGGCCAGAATGAATGGCGCTGTCCTGCCAAGAGATGCGCAGCTGGTCTCGCCTGCGATCAAGAGCGGCAACAAGAAGCTGTCCTTGAACGGGCTGTTTGAAAAGTCGATCTCGTCACTGTCCAAGTAGGGGGCGCACTCTCTGAAAATGAAGCGTTGGCATTCGCAGTGGTGATTCAAAGGGACGGTCGTCAGCGGCTCCACACCTGATCTGAAGATCCTTCCATTCAGCATAGATCTTTCTTGTTGCCATTCCAAGAAAAGACCTCAGTCTCCACAACAAATTGGCTGCCCTTTCCATATGCTGGTCGGCCTAATGGTCGTCTGGGTCCCCCGTGAATTTGCACATACCGAGCCATGTGCTTACCCATCGGAAACACAGCAAGAGTGTACGTGCAATGCTAGTGGCCAAAGATAGGCATCACCTGGTCGAACGCGCTCTGAGATATTCCTTCAGACAATCGCGGAGATCTCCGTGAGGTGCTAAACTTCCTCCAGGATCGCAGCAATGGTGATGTGGCACCCGTCCTTTGTTTTTCTTAGCGCCGCTACCTCTCGCTATCTTGCAACATATAGACGCAACAATGTATTGGCATTAACAACACAGTTCTCCCATCAAGACCAGAAAATTGCAAATCCGGGGTGACGAACTACAAGCAGTTCGCTGCCCCCATTCTCCTTGAATTGAGCGCTTCTATTAACGAACAATTGGCATCCAGCAATGCGAACTCATTTTGTGTTTCCGTGCACCATAGTTATGGTGAGCGGAAACACAAAATGAGTATTTTTATATATTTATGAGCGCTTATATAAATGCTGCAGCGTTTATGCCAGTGACCAACACAAAACCGTCTGCAGTTGCTTTCGACGCATTGTGGCCGATTGTCCGTCATCCTGTGCTGTGACTTGGACCCTGCCCAAGGAGGATTTTGCATGCTTGCTTGTGAAGGATGTTCGATTGCTCGTCCCTCCGCATGTCTGTGCTGGTGATGCACATCTGGGTCGTCGGTGGATTCATATACACCACGATGCTGCTGATGAACACTGAAGTCCACGCATCGAAGAGCTCCTGCACGGGAGACCACACGATGCCCTTGCACCTGTCGGACAGGAACTACAGAGAGATCCTCATAGTTTCGTGTGCGGATCTGGTGGGCCAATTCCTCCCGCTCCTGATCATCGACAGGCTTGGAAGGCAGTGGTGAGCGCGGGCTGCGCCAGCACCCAGTGCCAAATCACAGCTCAGCTCAGCTGAATGTCTGGAGTGCACTAGGGAAAAAAGGGCCAAATAACGCGTGTTCAAACGTGTAAAAATTTTACGGGTTTGTGTTTTTTTGTGTTCTTGGCATGCATAACTTTGATAAAATGTGTTTTATGTGTGTTTGCAAAAGTGCTATTTGGTCCTTTTTTTGCTAGTGGTGGGTCAAATGGCCAAGCAATTTACTATCCTGCAGGAGGTGGTCATCGACTGGACACAGCCAAGTGACGAACATTTGCGCATTCGTAACGAATTGCTCCTTCGTCAAGCCTATTCTTGATGTGCATATTTGATGGCGGGCGCACCCCTACGCTGAGGGGAACAGTGCGTGCGTGCACTGAGGTGCAGCCATGTGAGCTGGCAGCAAATTTTGTGTATTCCCACTGCAGAATGTGTTTTCAGTACTAATCATAGCATGCTTGTACTACTGAAGCACGTTGTCGATTTTTATAGATTTCCACTATTGCAACTGAGGTTAGTATTCTTTCTTTGAAGGAGTGCTTTAGCAGTGGTGCCACATACTGAGTACACCAGGAAGCAATAACTCGTACGCCACAGTGCTGCACACATACGATGCCAGAGATGGCGTTGATGACCCTCATCACCCGTCTGTCTGCAGGTCCATGTTTGCCCTATTCCTTGGCGCCTTTGCATCAATGCTCCCCATCCTGGTGGCCAGGCCGGATCCCACAGCGTCGTTGTTTGGCATCCGTGCCTTTGCTCAGAGCGTCCAGCTGGTGGTGGGCGTGTACACGTCCGAGGCGTATCCCACAGACATACGGGCATTCGCTCTGGGGATGGGCCACACCATCAGCAGCATTGGTAGCGTAGGTGTGCCCCTCGTGGCTCAGGTACGTACACAATCCTTGAAGCCTTGCTGCATGGATGCAGTTGCGCGCATTTGTGCGACCTTTGCTCGCTCCTAAAACGGCATTGAGCCCTGGCCCTTCAAGTGCGTTCTCCTTTGTGAAGCTCAGTGTGGTCAGCATGCCAGTGTTTTCTCTGCCTATACCGTCCACGGTGTTTTCTAGGCAAGAGTATATCCCTGCAATCGGTTGGCTCAGATTATCGATCACGCAGCATGTATTGCTTCCTAAAGTGCCATTTCTGTCACGCATTCGCTTTGCTTGTTTACATGGAATAGGCCCCCCGACTTGCCGCCTGGAATTGACAGCATACGGTATTGCAGGGAGTCCTACATAAATACGGAATCCGCGCTTCAATTGGCGTCCTCGTGGCCTTGTTGGCCACTGGCGCCGCCGCTGCTGTGGGTCTCCCCATTGACACCACAGGCAAACCCCTAGAAGACACCGTCGACGAAGGAGGCCGGCGGAAATCAAAGGCGCACGACCAGCAATCAGAACAACTACGTTGCGTTTCCATCAGCAGCTCGAAAGCCAAATAGTGTGTGCCCGTGCTCTTGCTTTCTGTAGCATCATAGGCGGGAAGGATCACGTGTGGAAATTGTGCTGCACGCTTCCGAAAACAGCCAACTTAGATTGTTTTCCATGCGGAAACTGGATTGGCAGTGGAGAGGATGGCAGAGGCTGGCCAGTTGGTGCTGTGCACATGCACGCGCGTGCATCGCGCGCATGACCGACCCTGCACAGAGTCGTGGCAACTACTTTGGCAGAGTGAAGGAGGTGCTTGCACTGAATAGAAGGCATGCGCCAGAGGCCGACAAGCAGAGATTCAGTGCGGTGAATTACTGGCACACACATAACGAATTGGTTGAGGGTTACCTTTTTTAATAATTCGCTTCGACAATCGCCCATTTTAGGAGGTTGATTCAAGTAGACAGAAAGAAGCTAGTTCGGCGCTTACCTTTGAAGCAGAAGAATCTCAAAGATGAAAATTGGGCAGCCTCTGTCCTTAGAGTGCTGACATTGCCTAACGATATACGTGTCGGAGGTATGTGACGTGAGCAGATGTAATTCATAAGATGCAAATTACTCTGTTCGAGGGTGATGGGCCTGACAGTGATTTCTAGTTTCTGTACAGAAGCCTGATGAAGATATAAATAGCTTCAGCACAGAAGCCTGATAGGACCTGTCCTATCAAGATATACTTGGCTGAAAGCTAAATGAGATGGATGAAGAAGAGAGATGTGGTGCGGTTCCAAGACGTCTCTGAGGCACAAGCGTTCAGAAAACACGCCATTCACTAGGAAAAAAGGGCCAAATAACACGTGTTCAAACGTGTACAAAGTTTACGGGTTTGTGTTATTTTCCTTTTTTTTGCGTGCAGAACACTGATAAAATGCATACGTACGTGTCCGCAGAACGTGTTATTTGGTCCTTTTCCTGCTAGTGATTTGGCCCTTTCTCCCAGTCAGGCTTGTTGTCTATGGCGTAAACACAGCGTGCTGTTACGCATTTTTACCCGGTTTTACATAAACTACGTAAACACAGGCTGTGTTTACGCCGTCCACAGCAAGCCTGCTTCCAGTCAAGGGTGCGCGGGCAGGTGTCCAGGGGAGGTTTTGTGCTTTGGAGCCTGCCTTTGGCATCGGACGCGATCGCGGACTTTGGTCGCCATCGCCTCCGTGTCGGCGATAAACTGAGCACGGATAGGGTCAACCCACAGCGGCCGGCCGGCGTCGTCATCCCTCAGAATCGTAACGGTGACGCCTTCACGGATGCCGGGCCTGGACAGAGAGCCCGGTCAGACCGTGGGGCGTGTGAGCGCACCACGCGTGTGCGCTCAAGGCAAAGTACTGGGCACCTTGTACGCGCCACACCGCACAACCTGATGCTGACTCCTGTTCTAACACAACGCAACCGCCTCGTTCCACTTTGGGCCAACAAAACGACGACTCACAGCTCCAGCTGTTGTGACAGCTCGAGCGGGGCTCGTCGCATTCCGCGGGCACGTCGTGTCGCGCAGCGTTGACCAGCGCGGGGGAGCAACGTTTTACAAGCCATGGTCCACGCCAAAAGTGCACAACGCCACTGCGGCCCAACCCGAAGGCGCTTTCGGGCTTGGGCTCCTCTTTGGAATCGTTTTCTCGGCCAGTCGGGACGCTGATATGGATCCCGGCGCCAGCGGCGATGCGGGTGGAGAGGCCGTCCCTTTCCTGGGCCCAGAGAGGGGGATGGAGATTGCGGCGCCGGTCGGCGACCGATCGGCCCGGCGCGAGGTGGCCCTGGGGGAGGAGTTCACGGTGAGCGAGGCGGTGGAGGCCGTGGGCATGGGCCGCTTCCAGGCCCTGCTGCTCCTGGTGGTGGGCATGTGCGTCGCCGGCAAGGGGGCTACCATAACGCTGGGCACGTTCATCTTCCCCGGGGTGAGTTGGATGGGGATCGAGCCCTGCAGGCGCGCAGCCGTGACAATTTCGCTGCCCCTGTGACAAATTGGCGAGCGCTTGGCGCCGGTGGTTTGGGATCGCGGGGGCTGGCGACGGCGTCCTGGCGTTTCCGAGGGTTCAGTGGGAAGGAACGAGGTTCGCAGGGAATTCTTATTTGTTGGTGCGGCGATCGCGCGGCGCCGCGTTGTTGGCGAGGAAGTCTGCGTTCTGCGAGAAGGCGCGGGAGTCATAATTCGCTGAGAAGGCGATGAGGTGAGCGACGGGAGGCACAAGAGCACGCAAGCCAGAGCCGTTTGCTTGAGGACGCGCAGACCACATTAACCGGCGCAATCTGTTGAGGCACGCCGGGTTGTTGGCTTTACGGAGAGGGAATGTCCACGAGCTTGTGGGGTTCGAGCAATTTTCACGCAAGACAGGCGCGCATGTAGTGGTTGTTGCTCTCGGTGCAACTGATGATCGACTTGTCGACTGAAACTGGACCTCTTCATGACATCGTTTGGCAGGCAAAGTGTGACTTTGGCCTCTCAGACGGGCAGGAGAGTCAACTCACGATATGGGTGCTGGTGGGCATCATGATTGGTTCTTACACCTGGGGCCTCATGGGGGACATGGCTGGGCGAAAGATTTCCATCGCTGTGGCCACGGCGGGGGGAATTGCGACCAGCGCAGTGGCGACCGTGCTCCCCAATGTGCAGGTCAGTCTAGAAGAACGGAGAGGAGAGAGGGGTAGAGTGAGATGATCTGGTTGATAACATTTTGCCAAATCTGTCAAAACACCACCCTTGCACCTGCAGTCTTGCAGTCGCCTTGAAATCACGATGGAGTGATGAACGGAACAGACAATCTTGCTTGTGGGTACCTATGCATTCTAATGTGTTGGTTCCTGCATGAGACAAATCCAGTCTGAAGAATTGAGCGCAGCTTGATGAACGTTTGTTGGTTTCTCTTCTACGTTCGGGGTGCACGTTTCACAGGATCAGTTATCAGTTATCCAATCTTCCTGAGGTGCTTGACGATCTAGCCACTGCTGGGTGGTGCAAGGCAGCGATATTCAGCATTGTTCAACTTTGCACCTCACAGGTGACAATTTGAGCCAAGCATCCTGAGCCACAACTTGTTGAATGCGTGGGAGCAAACCCCTTTTGGGCTTTCACCCAATTGGTTATTACCCACATTGCCTTGAGTCTTTCAGCCCAATATTCCACCATCTTCTTCCATCTTGCCACACAGATATCGCACATGAGCATGTGCACAAGAAACAGTGCACAATATTCTGCTTTGTGGCAGTACCAATTGCAGGCTGCTTCAACGCGAATGGAGGCATGTGATATAAATGGAGAAAATCATTGTCTTCAAATTCAAGGCTCAAACATGTAGCTAATTGGCTTAGCACCAACTGCCTTGTAGCAAATATTGGAAGCGGCCCTCTCTGGAATAGACCAGCATGTTCACAAATCAGCGCAGTCATTCAACTACGTGTTCCGTTTGGTATACTTCTGGATAATGAGATGAATGACAAAATTCACCAATTTCTGGTGTAGTCAGCCAAAGATCATCCAGTGCAAATGTGAATGGGAGCATTGTGCACCATGTTGCACAAATGCGATCAGAGTACAACTGCAATCAATACAAGCTTTCTGTGAATGTGAGCAGACAAGGTGACAAACTGTTCCTTGGTTCCCACAGAGCCTTTCAGCGGTTTTGCTTCTGCTGGGTTTCACAATGGCTGGACAATTGACAGATTTGGCATACCTGTTTGAGTACACTCCCACAGCATATCGTGGGAAATCTGCACTGGCCATGGGGCTTGCCTGGGCCCTTGGCACGCTTGGCAATGCTGTGTCAGCATGGCTCATAATGCCACACTACGGCTGGAGGATACTTGTCTTTGTCACAGATGTGCCATACGGTGCGGTGCACAACTCTGTCATGCTCTGTCCTTCTCCTCTGGCAGTGGTTAATCTGTTTGACAAGTGATCGGCACCAGGGTTGGCACAACGCATCGCATCGGAACTGTTGGATCATTTCTGAAATAGATGTCAAGGCGATCATGGCACAAGCCCCAAGAGCAACCTGCTTCAGCCTCAAGAGTAAGAGTCTAAAACAGTTTGCTCTTGAAGGATGCCCAATGCATGCCTTGATATCACCTTCACACAAATTTTGGGCAGGTGCGATGCAGTTTGCTGGCTATTTGCATGTCAATTGTGTACGAGTTATGTGACAGCAGCCAGAAGCCTGACTTGGGTGCACCTGGAACACCAATGTGGGTGTTGTCAGCAGTTCACAGGGAATTGCGTATCTTGCTGGATGTAAGGCTCTACAAGGACAAGTTAAACCTTGTGACAGCAGCCCTGCACACCTACACACTGTTCAGGAGTTGTTGGGCCCCGTTCTGCAAGTTCTGCTGTTGGCGACCGCAGTAGCCAACAGCCTTCAATTCAAATCTGGGAAGACACCAAGGCATAATTTTGCCTTTGCCCACTGCCGGATTATTAGGCCATCTGCAACTACACAATGTCTGACCTGCCCTGGTGCATTGCGTGTGCCTCAAGTTGACAGGACAGGGCATGCTTTGCTTTACACCACTGTCAGTGCTGTGAACTTGCAGGTTTTGTATTTGCTTCGCAACCACACCTCTGGCCAATCACCTGATCCTGAGGGGATATAGGACCAAGATGTGTCATGGCAAACTTGTCTCCGCCCAGATCCCTCACCAGTTGTGGGCAGTGAGGATGTCTAGATAATGGGTGTGGTACAATCGAACGGCTGTGCCATGTTGTCGCATTTAATATAGTTGCTATAGCTATCATAGTTACCATAGTTACTGCCTTTACTATAGTGGCTTGTGCAAGAGCCCCAGACATTAAAACACAGGACCAGTTTTCCACTTGTGAAGTTTGATTCTGATTAGATTGTTGATTTCGTTGCTCTTCAGTTTGTGCCCTTGGGCTCCTCCACCTGGTGCCTGAATCTGCACACTACCTGGCCGTGAGGGGTCGTGAGGCTGAAGCGAGGAAAGCCCTGGAAAGAATGGCAGAGATTAATGGAGTGGCCTTGCCAGCAGGATCGGTTTTGGTTGCACCAGAAGGCAGAAACAGCAAAGAGGTGTCTGTTCGTGGGATTCTTGAGAAGTCAGCCTCATCACTAAAAATGTGCGCTTGACAATGCTGGAACCATGGTGTCGTCGGGAGGCGGCCTATATTCTGGATCAAGTGCAGTCACTGTTCTGCTTCCTGACACCCTGTGCACGGTTCAATTGCTGGGCCAATTCTCCTTCCTGTGGTGTTTTCCCACTGTCAACGTTGCGAACATCATGTGGTGCTCTCTGCATGCTACCCTGTCAGAGCATTTGTAAGTTGGACGTGGCAAATTCCTGGATCCACCCTGCATAGTGGTGGGCACAAATCACTCCCTCAGCCTGCAGTGCACACTCCCTGTTGGTCCCTTGAGTGCACTGCAGCTGACTGATGGAATGGATTTTGTGCCTGTAGACAGGTTGCCTGGACATTTCCACTCCAGAATGCTCGATCAGGGCCAAAGAGCCTGTCTCACCAGCATGTGTTTGCGCAGGATGTTCGCTCCATCCTGCCTCCAAATGTCCATTCCCACTGTCCTCGTGTGGGTTGTGTCAGGGTTCATGTACACTTCGATGCTTTTAATGAATACCGAAGTCCATGCGACTGAGAGTTCGTGCACTGGAAACCACAAGAAACCACTCTATCTGTCCAACAAGGACTACCATGACATCATCATTGTCTCATGCTCAGAAGCCGTCAGCCAAGTCCTCCCCATTGTGATAATCGACCGAATTGGAAGGAAATGGTGAGAACTCGATGGTTTGGTGCCATCTTAGCTGCTCACTTCAGCTCTTTTTGGCCCCCTTGACCTTTCCCTGTTCTTGGCATTGTATCTGGTTTTGACGATGTTCTCTTCCAAGCTGGCCTGGCGGTTCCATTTGTGTGTTTTGCTTCGCCAAATTCCTGTCACAATTTCTTTGGCCAACCTACGTTGGGCATGTTGTCTTGCTTAATCGTGCTACTCAACATTGCCTGCACTTCCTGTTGGGTCTAGAGACTTTCTGGAACACCGTGTAAGGGGTATAAGTGAGTCTCGCAAGACTTCTCTGCAGGGACTGGGGCGCCCGCTGTGTGTCATGTTTTCTTCCCACCACACTATCAAATTAAGGAGCGAATCGAAGTCACACGATGCAAAAGGTAAATTTTGCAGGCGAGACCGCATTCCAGGGCCTTGCATTGTCCTGTCAATCGAACTTGAGGAAAGGCGCCGTCTCCTTACTGTTTCCAGTCCCGGCGAGGGGACCCCCCTCACCGATTCTCCCATATCACGAGGAGACCCATAGCCAACCCTACCACTGCCAACTGAATCTCAAACACTTGGCTTCAGGCAATCGGCGACGCGGAATGCGCCGTTTGCCCTATCTCTCCCGATCGATCACAGCTTCAAATGCAGAAACAGCACGCGCGAAGGCGCCGCTATTTGTGCGCACGGCGCAATCACTCACCCCGCATCGCCCACCCGTCCACAGGTCGATGTTCACCCTGTTCGTGGGCGCCATGGCCTCGATGATCCCCATCTTGTCGGGCAGCCCAGACCCGACCTGGCCGATGTTCGGCATCCGGGCATTCGCCCAAAGCATCCAGCTGGTTGTGAGCGTCTACACGTCCGAGGCCTACCCGACGGACATACGGGCCTTCGCCCTGGGCGTGGGCCACAGCGCGAGCAACTTCGGCACCATAGGCACTCCACTGGTGGCACAGGTGGGCGCCCGTTCAAAACACCGCGTCACCGGCGATGAGTCATCGCGCATGATCCTCCAGGCATCTTGCTGTTGCTGCAGGCTCTTCTCTGAAACTGAGGGTTCTTGGTCGTTTCGTTCTTGGGTTGAGACCCTGCGACTTTCCGCAGATAGGTCTATGGCAGCTACAGGACGCTTGTTCACTGGAAGGAACAGGCAAACGCTGGCAGTCACCACGCTCTAACCATACACACAAGTTGTCCATTCCAGGGAGCTTCCGCCCGCGTCTAAACAACCTTATGCTGCTGAAATTCGCGCACGAGCAAAGTAGCACCCTTTTAAGTAGGTGATCTTAACTGTGCTTCTGGTGCCGTTCTCCGCCGGCATCTACCGTTGGCTGTTTGCCCATTTTACACTGGTCATGCACACCCAGGGACTTCTGCACTCCCGCGGGATCCGTGCTTCCGTGGGCGTCCTTGTGGCCATGGCCGCTGCTGGAACGGGCGCTGCGGCCGCACTTCCGTTCGACACAACGTACATACAGCTCGAAGACACGGCGGTCGTCGACGGACGAACAAAAGACAATGCCATGGACCTGCCAGAGGAGCTTCGAGAAATTGCATCGGAGAGCTGAAAGGCGGGAGGCGAAGCTTTTGAGAGCGGCCTGCTACACTGAAGTTTTCCTGTTGAGTGGATTGGTGCGCTTTTATGCGAAGGGAATGAAGGGCAGGAACGGTGAAGCGTCAGCAGAAGTGGCCCGACAGGATGGAATCCGAAGCTGGAAGCATTCTCGGGGGTTGAATCCGTGTGGGGTTTGGAATGGAATCCTTTCGAGAGATGTTCCAAATGAACTCATCTCTTCACTGGTGCAAAATGATTCACAAAAGCGCTAGTTGTTTTGAATTCTTGGTTGGCAACAGATGCTATGTGCGCACGATTCACTAGTTGAAAAGACTCAAGTATGGAATAGAATTGTGTAATTCGCACAGTGTGAATGGACGCAATTTTATTGGTGCCCCCCGTCTGGAAGTGGACAAAACTACAGGCACCTTATTAACGTCATTGTTATTTACGTTTGCTGCACCATTTTTATGTTGACGTTTTCATGCATAAATAGAGAAAAGGTCATGTTTACGACCATATTTACGCATTTTTATGGCTCATGCACACACCCAGCTTGCATGATTATATCTCGAACAATGTTCAGTCCTCGGCCTTTCGAGCACCCGCAGCACAGCGTCCACCTCGCCCTCAGCAAGAGTTAACGTCGTCGTCGAACAAAAGGTCGTTTTCCGCCCACTCCAGCGTCTGGATGCCACTCCCCTGACTCAGTGAGTCTGCAAGTACTGTCTTTATGCACACACTGCCTAATTTTACCCTTTTTACCCTTTTTATGGCTAGTTGCACGTGCAAGCGTAAAAACCATTTTTACTCGTAAATAGCGGTAACTAGAAAGTGTTTACACTTTCAATGACCCTGGCTACAGGGATGTGCGCGTGTACAAATGCGCTGGGCAGAGCTGCCGCATTTTCTGGATTGCTGAAGCAATGGAGCAGCAGTGCGGTTGTCCAATGGGGTGTAATGCAATGTGACACCGGTTGGCGGCAAGCTGTTGCAGAACGGCGTGCCGCTTTGTGGTGTCTTGTGCCTTTATTTCTGTTTGAGCTGTCGCATGAAGCATGTGTCGCTTAGAGGAGCCCTTGTAGAATGTTGCTTCAAGTCAAAGTTTGCGTAATTGTTTTCGCTGTGATTTCCAGTGTGCATTTGAGGCCTTCGGGATTTCTGAACGCAACAATCAAACGCATTCTGTGGAATGGCCAGATCGAATTAACAAGGAGTCCGCCGCCAAATTTCAGGAGCAGGCTATGCTGCTAGAACACCGCAAAATGCCTTACACATCCCCAGTAGTCACGCATGTCTTCCTACCTCTGATCGATGTCCAATCAGACACTTGTGAGCTGCAATAGCGCCACGACGACACCCGCCATCTTATGCAGGGCTCCATGGCCTTGTACCTTGTACCAAGTCAGGCATAGCAAAATAAACACAACCGGACCGATGCACAGACCGATACCAGCCCTTGAGGGCAAGGGAGCTCTGAACATCACTCTCAATTGGCGTCCAGCATGCTGAAATCCATCGAGTTCGCCCTCAATGGACTGGAGGTGCCGACGGTTTCGATGACTGCGCTTTAGTGCACCCAACACTGCACCACTGGTGCAGGCGCCCAATATATTGGAGCGTCTGCATGCATTTGCAGATATGTTCCAGCACAACCACATGCAAACAACGCAATGTGCATACAACAAAGCGTCATCAATGCCCACAATTTCCAAGCCGCAAGGCCCTCATAGCCGCCCTGCGACTGCTCGCTATGCAGCGCTTCCTTTGCGTCGCTGGGTTAAGGACGCGTAATTGCGCTTGACACACGCCCGAACCGCGAGTTCCCAAGCTGGCTGACGCGCTGCCTCTCTCAGCGCCACATGCCGCCCCGACGCGCGCCCTCAGCGCCACAGATGCACTCGCGCAAATGGCTCAATTTGATGCGTGCCGACTCAATCTGACTCACTTTTTGACTCAGTTTGACACCGTTGTTTGCGATACAAGTTGTTTGCAATTGCGTTTGTGCGTGCAGTTCGCGGTGAAAAGCGTCCATAGATGATAGATTTAGTTTGTATTTCTCAATAGATTCAAATGAACCAATCACCGACTCTGCTTTGCTCAGGCAAAATAGGAAGCTGACGGCTACCTCATGGCCTTGTTCTGTAAAAAATCATGATGATGATGATGATGAAAAGCGTCCAAGCCCATCACGCTTGTGGCAGGAGGACGCCGCTCCGCCTTTTCCAAGCGTCCTAGCTCGATTTGGACCTGGGGTGCACCAAAGGGCCAAAGGCGCCGTGTCGCGCCCGGAGACACACCGGCCAGTGACTAAACTCGGGCTGTTCGGCTCTGCCTTCCGTTCACACCCCACAGGGGAGTCAACGGAAGCGAACTCGTGCGGCGCGCGCCCGCGAGGTTACGCCCGGGGACAGAATGCCGGGCGCCGTGCGTTTGACTCCGCTGACCGCGCGAATGCAGCCTGAACACTAAATCGGGCGCGTCCGAGTTCGCCCGAATCTTCCCAGGCCGGAAGTCCGTGTAAGCGCAAGTCTGGAACTGCGGGAGCCCTTTCATCAAACGCCTTGCCCTGGGGCGTGACCGCTCCTAATGGGCCGGCGAGTCAGTCATACCCCGCCCCATAAATGCCCCCGCCCCGTGCCTGCGCCGCGCCAGGCAGGGCACTGAGGTGGAGCCCACCAAGCCACCCCCCACCCACCCACCCGACCCGCGCGTCCCGATCACAGGACGCCCAGCGCCATCGCGCACATTGCGCAGCGCAGCCCCCGCCGCAACGATCCCAGCCACAACCGCCGCGGGCGCCTCAGCCCCGCGGGGGCCCCCAAGCGCCGGGGACGGCCGTAACGACCAGGTAACACGCTGGCGTCACCGGCCCGCGCGCGGCAAGCCGGGAGATCGCGCCCGACACCTCCGGGCCGCCCGCGCCGGTTTCTGCGCCCGGATCCGCGCCAAAAGGGATTGGATTTGATCCCATCGGCTGGGGGATCCCGCCCCGTTCTCCATTTTCGTGCGCGGACACCCGGGGCTGTTCCAGGCGGGTGTGAGCGGGCTTGCCGTGGCCCGAAGGCCTCTCGCCGTTCGGTGGGATCTCGCAAAACGGGTTCATCGCCGGGACCTGATCTGGCTCCACCGGACCTGTGGGCTCCGCTTGTGGGGGTAGTTGCCCCAGCGACAGTCGGCCGGGCGATGTCAACGGGCTGGGGGGGGGATGGCCGCTCGGGGCGCGCGGCGCCACCGACCGGCCACGCAGCCGGGATCTGGCCTCCTGCACACCAAAACGGGATCGCCTCTTTGCTGCGCCCGCCTTCGATCGTCCCAGCTGGCCCGCCCAGAGCACGGGTTGACTTCCGGCCAGTCCAGCGGCAGCCGGTGTGGACGTTTGACCGGCCACGGCGCAGCACCGCCATCGACCCTCCACCCCCAGATCGCGCCCAGGCAAGGCCGCCGATCGCCACCTGGCTCGGCCAGCCCCCGCCCGGCGAAGCCGCGATTCATCCGGCGAGCGCCAGAGCGATTGTCGCCATGCTGCAGTCGATACCGAACCGGCAGGCGCCGTGAGCCAGGCCGCTGAGGCTGCCAATCTGTGTCTGCAGGAGATCCGACCGCAACTGGCCGTCCGGGAACCCCTTCTGCGGCCCGAAGGGGTGGCCGGGGGGCGCCATGAGGGCCCGGGGTGCCGCAGGCGGTGGTTCACCGCGGCGGGCGCGCTCTTTGTATGAGTCAGGTCCGGAGGGGAGGGGGAGGCTGGATCCGATCGCCGGCGATCCCGTCCAGCCGGGTGCCCCAGAGGTGAGCGCGGCGCGGGGGAGCGGGCCCGTGGGGGGAGCGGGCGTTGGCGTAGCCCTGGGCAGGGAGTGGCCGGTTTTGGGGCCCGTTGGGGTCGTCAGAGGCCTTGGGAGAGGCGCCTTGCACGCACAGCGGCACTAATGGAAAATGTATATAAATAACAGGGAATTTGTGTGTGGGTCGTCGTGTGGTTGGCGCGTCACGCGCTCGGGTGGGGAGACGACCCCGACGCCAGGGAAGGAAAAGGAGCGGTGCTGGTAGCAGTTTCTGCCAGACGTCATGGCGGTTGATGCTGCCGCCTTGAGGTGACGCAAGCTCGTGTTGAAGCACTGCCCGATTGGCGTGTGCGCGGGCACTTGGCGAGCGTCGCAAACCCGCGAGAAAGTTCCGCTGCGAGCGGAACGGGATTTTCGACGCCATGAGCGTTCGAGAGTTGCAGCTGATGGACTGTTGGACTGATAGGCGCACGCGCAATTTGCAGGTGTTGGGTCGGCACCGTGCAGGTTCGCCGTCCATGCCCCTTTCCGTGGAAGCTGGAAGGCGCCCAAAACGAAAGGCACGTCACCACACCGCCGTCCCCCGCCTGTGAACAATGCCACGTTGGACGCCTTTTGGAACAAAATAGCATGCTGAGTTATTTTGTTGAAAGCGACGCGGAGTGATGCAGTTCCGTGACCTTTGGTCATGACAGTTAAACGGCCACAGCGGCGCACACGTTAACATACAGTACGGACTTGCGGGTGCTCGCACGGATGCACAGAATGACGCGTGCGGCCCAAAAAAGTCGGCAAGCACATTCTCCTGAATCCAAAGCGCAAGCAAATCGGATCTGTCGTATTCGCGCGAATCGCCCGTCTACGTCGCACTTCGCAACTGAACCCGTCCGCCATCCAAGCCAAACACACGCACCGGCAACACGTTATTGCGACCAGGCCGCCACCCCGCTCGGCCCCTCGCCGTCGTTCACCGTGACCGTCCCACAGGCGACGCAGATCCGCCGCGACGCCGGAGGCAGCAGAAGGGGCCGGAGGCGGGGCGCAACTGGCCCCCCAATCCCGCCTCCTTGCTCGGATCCCTTCGGGGAGCACGCCGGCGATGCGCCCAGCGCCCTGCTCGACCTCAGCCCTCGAGCGGCCGGCTTCGCCAGCCCCTCCCCGCCTGCCGCTTGTGACCCCAGCGGGCCATTCGACGAGGAATTCAGCGCGGCCATTCATCTGATGTCCCTGC